TAAAATTAATCTTAAAAACAATGACAGGCGATTCAGAGGACGCTCTCTGCAAAACTGTTGCAAAACGCTTACACGGCAGTTGTTTGCAATGTGGACTTTTAGTTTGCAATGCAAAGCACGGAAATTTTTGGCAGCGCTAAAAAGAATATGGCTTGCTACAATTTTACTGAACAGGTGCATGGATATGCAAAACCAAGGGAAACGTACAATTAAAAATTAATTTTGTGCGAAGGAATAAACCTCGTTCTTTAATTTCAAGTATTGCTCTTACTGTGGTAGGGACCACCCAAAAAGTGCGTACGTCGTTAAAATTTGTCTTTATGAAAGTGCCAAATTCGCAAGTTTTGGCAATGCAAGGTCTCGTAGCGCCTGATGGGTAGGCAACATCTTTCCTGCAATTCATGCGTGTACTGCGCGTGCGGGGTAGGCTATCCTGAGTCTTGCAGGCGCCAACGCCAACCTCTCGTAATTTGCCGAATGAATCTGAGGAATGCGAACGAACTTTCTAGACCTGCTGTTCTAAAAAGAGCAGGTGAAATACTGGATCAAGTACTATATCTCGGCAATAACAAATATTAGCCTGAGAATTTTATCGATTCGTTATTCGATTATTTCATTTTGCTATGCTGTATTTTTTGAGTGGTAAATAATAATAGTTAGTATGAAGGGTCATATTTTTTCCGTCGTTTCTACATTATGTTTATGTTTGTGTTAACGCGTTCCTTGCCGCTGTGCATTTAGGAGGGCTGGAAGAACCCTGGTCACGCCGCAATAATTCACGGAACGGAACCGGGGAGGGGAAAGAAGCAGCGGACAAATGAATATTGTCAGTAAAATATGTAAAATTTCGGAGTATACGGCACATGTACGGGTGTGGTACAAAAGAAACAAAAAGATTTTCAAAAACACGCAACATGTAATTAGGAAGTTTTATTGCTTCGCTTCAATGGGCAGGGTCAGATCGAGCACGGACGAGCAGTTGGGGAAGCGCACTGCGCAAGGCGTTCCATCGTATCGGGCTGCATCCCACGTCGTCCTGTCCTCGCCACCGCCGTCCGGAAGACTTTGGAGGCAAAAGAGAAATCAGTAAAGGACACTGGTTAGTTTTACAATGAATTCGAATTTGGTAAGTTACTCACTTAAACAGAACGCCGAGTAGCTCCTGCATGAATGTGCCCTTGTTCTGCGTTGGACTGCTACTCTCGCACACCGTTCTGTGGACGCATTCCTCTCCACGCAAACCACGTCTGTGGGGATGAACAAGTTATTAAAATAAGCGGTGCCTCAAAGGTGTGGGCGCGCTGCACGAGGCTCCCTCCAGCGAGGCAGCGAGGGGCAGTAGGCAGACCCACTAGCACGTCTGCATATGCCGTACAGTACAGCCACAAAATATAGCACAGGGCCTATGGGGCACCCTAATAAGCTATTTGAGAGAAATGGGAAAAAAGAACAGCACGAATGACGACGAGGTGGCCCATGATTCGTCGCCCGGTTTCCCCCTCCACCTGAGCGACGAATCACATCTTCGTGCTGTTCTTCTTTCCCATTTCTCTGATATAGCTTATACTCACTGGCTGAGGAAGGTCTGCACCGAGCGGTACAGGTTGACGCGGTGCTCCCTGTCAGGGTGCCGGCCGACGTCTCTGCGCTGCAGGTACACCTGCTGAGGCTCGGTGGGCAGCTGCCACGCCAAGCCCGCCGTCAGCCCGAACACGAAGATGGACTGGAAGGGGATGTAGCCTGGGAAGGACATGCAGTACACCAGCTGCAAACAGCCAGGACATTAAGGTTGGGCAGGTTTGAGTTACCACGCCACTCGTTGGGGGTCGTCAATACACTCACCTGGATGGAGCTGCCTCTCGGGAACACGATGTACCTCCTCTTCCTGCTGAGCACTGCGTCCCTGCCGGCGGCCAGCGTACCCTGGTTACTGGTGGAGCGCTCGAGGGATGACGGCGGCGACGTGCCGAGGACAACGGAGGCCAAGACGGCCCCCAAGAGGAGGATCGCGAGCGGTGTCCGGAGCAGCATGTTGACGAACACGAGGAGGACGCCCCTTGCCGCTCTACGCGGGCGATCTATGCGAGCGGGACGGGTGTCGACCGGGTGGGGCAGGGCGGGGCGGGGTGGGGCGGGGCGGGCACCGCTAGCTGCTAACGAGATCGCGGGGGCCGTTAGGGCAACACCGTTGTCCTACGCCTCCCCCACCTGCGCGATCACCTATTCACTATCATATCGCCATCCGCTGCCGTCGACCCGACCCATGCCAGCCCCCGAGCAGCTGTGCTAGCTGTGGCTTCTGCCAAAGGTAGGTGATCTTGTCATCCTGGGACGTTTCTTCGTGAGTCGCCCTGCTTGGTGGTCCGCGTCATCAGTGACTCAAAAACAGTGAGAAGCGAGAACAGGCCGAAAAGAGAATGAAACAGGCGGGGCCGTTCCTCCGAACGGTCTCGGCCACCCGTTCGGTTCAATCACCCTACGCCCCCCCCCCTCCCCCGGCTCAACGCCCAGGTGTCACCCGGGGCGCGCGCGGACACTGCCGCACACCTCCGCTGCGCGTCTCGTCCTCAGGGCCGCCTGCTATGTGCGTCCGCCGCGCGCCACTGCTGCTCGTCGTGGTGCTCACCGCGGTCCTGGTGCGCGGTGTGAGCCCGACCTCGCGCCACAAGCGCTACCTGCACTTCCCCTACGGCAGCACCCTCCGAGTGAGTTGACGACACGTGCGGAATACCATTACGGTGTACACGAAATGGCATTCCGTACTTTTGCGCCCCCGCACCGCCGACGCGACGGCGCGGGGTCAGCGCGGCGACCTCTGACCCGGATGTCGACGGACTGCAGGTGGCGCTCTCCTCCAAGTGGTCCACGCTCTTTGACTGGTCGAACTCACCGGCGTTCTGGACGGAGAGCTTCAACTGGGGCCTGACGTACGACCTCCCCAACGGCACGCAGCTCCTGGGACCCGCCGGCTTCTCAGCGCGCAGGGACCGCAGGGACCTGTACCGGCGCCTGGAGACGGCCATCGACTCGTAGGTTGCATCAACTAGGTCATTTGGGGGTGGTCGGAAGGTTGGGTACTTCAATTATATTTTTTTTGTTTCTTTTTTGTTTTGAAATCTGAACTCAGTATCGTAAAACAAAACAGAGGCGTTTACGGGCAATGATAAATTCACATAAATGTGGGTAACGTGGGGGTTATTTTTTTCCGGCTTTATGTCTGAAGTGCCTTAATTCTTTTGGGTCTGGGTGTGGGTGGTTTGACAAGATCGGTTTGACCGTCTTCCCCCCAGGACGGGACTGGTGGGCAGGGATTGCATCTTGAGGTCTATCTGTGAGGCACCGAAGTTTCTCGCTCCCGGGGACAACGTCTTTGCAGAGATTTTGCGCGTTTTCCTGAGGTAGGTGTTGATACGTTTAGTGAAACGTGACGTAGACGCGATATCGCAACAACATCTTCACAATATCGTTCTGACGTGTCGTTTCCACTGCCATCTAGCACTGCGATACGAGCGGTGCTTCTCTAAACGCCAGCCATACTTCTTGGTCCTGCCCAGGTACCCCGCTGACGGAGGCCGGACCGGGCCTTACGACTCGGCGCAGCACGCCGCGACGAAGGGCTTCGACTGTGAACGGCTGTTCCGCGACTGCCCAGTGTCCGTCCTCGGCCTGCTGCTGTCCTTGCGCCCGTCGTGACGCCTGCCAGGTGGCTGATTCACCCCGTCCTGCCAAAGTACCCCGTGTCGAGTCCAACTCATACACCAGTCTTGCGGGTTTGCCTGCGCGCTCGACCAGTAAGGGGCCATGTCCCCTGGAGTAGACAAACCCGCGACACTGATGTGCATCGGAATTGACAGGCACAACGGCGTGGCCCAAGTGCTCAGAACTACCAAAACTTTTACCAAGTGACTTTTCCCCGCCAGGATGATGACTCGCCTGCTGGCCGTGGCGGCCATCTTTGCGTGCTGGGGCGTCATCGCCCTGGCCGGCGGGCCCGGGCGAGCCCTGTCGCGTCACCGGCGCTACCTCACCTTTCCGGAGGGCGCCACGTTCAACGTAAGAGAGTGCACCACCGAGCACGCGCTCTGACGCCGCCGATGTAACATTCACAAATATCATTCGTCTTCCAGCTGGCGTTATGCATGTCCAACAAGGCCCGCTTCTTGGCCGACACGAGCATCTTCACGGAGGGCGTGGCCTGGGGCTGCTCCTACGACCTGCCCAACAACACGCAGGCTCTCGCCTCGGCCGGCGCGGGGGTCGAGCCCGGCGCCCTACTCCGCCGCAAGGACCGCACGAATCTGTACCGCCGCGTGGAGCGCGCCGTGGACTCGTGAGTAGAGCCAGGCGCTACCTCTGGTGCCTCTGGTCCAGGGAGCGCAGCGCGCAGCGCGCTGACGGAAGTGCGGCTTGTGTTTTGTGTTGCAGCACCGGGCTGGACGGGCACCTCTGCATGCTCAGGGCCGTGTGCGAGGCGGAGAACATGCTTAGCCCCCGGACCCATCTCGTCATGGAGATGCTGCGCATCGCGCTGACGTAAGAGAAAGAAAACACTTCTTCCTAAATGTTTCTAATTTTCAAAAGAATTTCACATAAGTTATTTACACACAATAATAACCAAATTGTATACTGCCGTCAGGATGCCACTGGATCACGTGTCGGAAAAAGAGCCGCATCACCACCGGGACTACATCATGGCAAGGCACAACGGCCTGCACGGGGTGGACTGCAGCGCAGTGTATCCAGAATGCCCGATCTCGTTACTCGCTTTAGCAACATCGCTTGTACCATCATCAATGTAAAAAAATAAATAAGAAACAAAAACCTATTTTAAAAAAACGAGTCGAATGCGCCAAAAAGTGCCGTTTGAATGACACATCTCATTGACGGGGCAAAACGTTTATGTGTAAGACACGGTTCCCGCTGTGATCATTTCAAGAAGAATTAAGGAAATCGTCACCGGAAACAGCTCTGTAATTACAGTAAAAAATAGTGCAAATGAACCTTCATAGTTACAATGGACTTTCTCGAGGTCATTTATGTAAAACTGTACTGTTGAATAAGAAAAATAAGCGGACTTGACTTTTCATACAGGTTGCGCTTCAAAGTTCCTTACTTCTTCTCGAAACGCGCACAGCGGGAACGGTTTATTCGGAAGACAGTTAGTTTAATGGATTGTTGTGAACACTCACACTCGTAGGCAAAAGGGTAAAAACAGTATTTGCAACGTTTTGGTGAGCAGAGGCAAGATTTTATTTGCGGTGTAGAGGGCTCACAGAGCTGGACGCGTGCGTCCTGAGTACAGGGCGACAGCTTACAGGTATGCGCGGACGTCGTCGTCCTCGCGGACGATGTCCTCGTCCAAGAGCCTGTGGCTGGGGGTGTACTTGTGGGCGGTCTGCTGGGAGAGGACGTTGTCGAAATCGTTGACGTTCTTCTTGATGAGGACGTTGTTGTTGTCGGTGGCGGAGTCCTTGTGGAAGATGGCGA